ATTAATTAATCAAGACATTAAAATTCATGATACCAATTAATCAATAAACAAAATTATAAATTAAACAAAACCAACTTAAATTTACACTAGGCCTAAGAGCATTATAGAACCTATGGGTAATTAACAGCGCCTTAACAACTAAAGACTTCACTTATTTATTTTGGTTTTAGGCCAAGACTTTATTGATAAATTCAAATTTTGCTCTTTCTTTTTTTTTTTTTTCCAAACTCCAAATCACATTTAAATATTTACTCACATTGTGATTATTTCAATTTATTGTTTAAATACAAGTGATACATGATTATTAATATATAATTGATAACTATTATGATTTATAATTCAAAATATTTAATTGGTTTAATTAAAGCCAATAACAGATAACAATAATTTTTTGTTAAAAGCTAAAGCAAATAATCTAATTAAATGAATGATAGATCATGAGAATGGATTAAAGCTAAAAATAAGAGCTGGGTGGTCTTACTTACGGATTGAATAATAGATCCAAAAAAAATACATAAAATAAGGCAAGTGGGATAAACACAAAAAAGAAGATAAAAGTTTACTTTGAGCTCCTCACTTTATCAAGTTTAAAGGTTTTAATCATTTATTTTATATTATGACACTTTTAATTTTTTATTTTACTAGATTTATAAATTTTAACTTCTTATTTTATACTATAACATTTTTAGCTTCTCATTTATTAAAATTGAAGAAAATAGTTCTCATTTTGTAACATTTTGTTAGTTTTATTAATTGATTGTTAATTCTATTAATTGACTATTAGTTGACTGTTAGATTATAAAAACCTTCTTCCAACTAACAGAGTTAACATAACTAATTTTATAATATTTCGTTAATTTTGTTAACTGATTATTAGTTGAGTATTAGTTAGTAAAAATCTATTTTTTGCTAACAGAATTAACAATCAATATAAAGTGAGAGCTATTTTCTTTGATTTTGATAGGTGAGGGGTTAAAACCTACAAATCTAATAAGATTAGATGTTAAAAGTATCATAGTATAAGATAAAGGGCTAAAACCTTCAAATTTTGAGAGGTTCAAAGTAAGTTTTTGTCCAAAGAAAAAAGTGAGGTTGTTGTAGAGGTAAACAGTTACTA